CCATTGATTACTGGGCCCTTATTTTTTTTTTCTGTCAATATCTTCAGTGCCACTTGATAGCACCTCTGAAACATGTCTGGTAGATTACCAGACCTTTCTTCTGAAATGCCTCTAGCTAAACTCCAAGCAGAGCATGTTAATAGTTTGTGCCATCCAGTGACTCCTCCCTAAATGGTGTGTTTATTTTGATTTCTGCTACCAGTCTTTAAGAAGAAAGTGAAATCTCTAGAAAATAATAGATAACAGGAGAAGACTAAAAGTCGCCCCTGTTTAGCATTTGGGCAGAGAAGAGAAGAAGCTGAAATAGGAAAAACAGGAGCAGGATCAAGAAATCCAGGGAAGTCAAGGAGGCTCATTCTGAGGGTGAAATGTGGAAGAATGAGGACCGTGAAAAGCTCATTGGAATCAGCCAACAAGAGGTGAATGTTTCGCTATATAAAAGCAGGATTCTACTATAAGCATGATGGAGGTCAAGTGTGCTGGGCAAATCAGAGTAAGGGCGCTCAGAAAGGGGACCCCTCACACATTCATTGTTGTTAGGTGCTGTTAAGTAGACTAGTACTCATACACCCTATGAACTACAGATTGGAACCTTGCCCTGCCTTGCACCATCCTCACCATGCTCAAGGTCATTGCTGCTGTTACTGTCCCAAGCTCTCTTGTTGAAGGTCTTCCTCTCTTTCACTTCCCCTGTTCTTTGCCAAGCATTTCTTTTTCTCTTTTTATTAATACTTTAAGATTCTCACCACTGGACCAATTGGCAGCATCAGGATGGATGGTCAAGAGATTGAGATTGTTCACAGCTTTAGTTTGCTTGGCTCCACAGTCAATACTCTTGGCACCAGCAGCCAGAAAATTAAAAGACATATTACAATGATAAACTCTGCTGTTAGAGACCTCTCCAGAGTACTGAAGAGCAATGATGTCACTCTGGAGACTAAGATGTGCCTGATACAGGCCATGCTCTTTGCAATCACTTTCTATGCTTCAGAGAGCTGGAAAATGACTAGGGAGGATAGAAGGAGAATTGATGCCTTTGAGCTGTGGTGCTGGAAGAGTATTGAATATACCACGGACTGCTAAGAAAACAAACAGGTTCATTCTGGAGAAGGTTAAACCAGGCTCCTCCTTGGAGGCAAGGATTCTGAAGCTTTGTCTGACATACTTTGGACATATTGTAAGGAGAGACCAGTCCTTGGAGAGGGACATCATGCTTGGTAGGGTGGAGGGACAGCACAGGAGAGGAAGACCCTCTATGAGGTGGATTGATTCAATGGCTGGAGTAATAGGGGTGGGTGTGTTGGAGACAGTGAGATTGGTACAGAACAGACCAGGGTTTAGGGCTATTGTACATAGAGTCTCTATGAGTCACAGGTGACTCGGCACATAACAACAACAACAACAACAAACAACCAACAATGAAAGTTTACTGAAACCTTGGATTTCCATTCATTTATTGTTGCACATTTTCCTCTCTAACCCCCCAATTTGCTTTTCTCTTAAAAAAAATTCTCTCATTGTTGCACAATTTCCTTCCCCCAGTCCACTCTGCTATGCACCTCTTATTTTGAACTGTTGCCATGCAAGTAATACCTAATCATATACTTCTTTTATAGTTCTTTCCCTCATTTGTTTCAATGCAGTATTCATTATTTATCCCCTCTTTTATTAGTTTCACCCTAAACCCCATATTAGTCCTGTTTTATAAGTGGCATTATGCAATATTTGTACTTTTTAAAATGGATTAATAATTTCTTTTTTACATCATATTCTTCCAATTTAATTCCCACCCCCACTTATTGTTGCACATTTTCCTCCCTGCCCACTCCTCCCCCACCTAGTTTGCTCTTCTTTTTGAAAAGAAAAAAAATCATTTCATTATTATAGAATCCCACCCCACCCCTGAGTCCACAATCCACTTTACTATGTATTTCTTTTTCTGGAATCTTGTCATGAAAATAAAAGCTAATGATATATTCCTTTTAAATAGTTTTCTCCCTCATCTGTTTCAATGCAGTATACGTTATGTATCCCATCTCTCTCAGTCTCACCCCAACCCTGATGTCAGTCCTGTTTCACAACAGTGGCACCATGCAGTATTTGTCCTTTTGTGACTGAGATATTTCACTCAGCATAATGTCCTCCAGGGTCACCCATTTTGTATAATATTTTATTAGTTCCTTGTTTTTCAGTGCTGTGTAATATTCCATTATGTGACTATACCACAGCTTCTCTAGCCATTCATTTGTTGACAGGCACTTGGATTGTTTTCATCTCTTTGCTATTGTGACCAATACAGCAATAAACATGGGTGTGCATTTATCTGTTTGGGTGGCAGTTCTGGTTTTTTTTAGGGTATACTCCCAGTAGTGAAATTTCTGGGTCAAATGGTATTTCTACTTTCAACTTTTTGAGAAACTGTCATTTCTTTTTCTAAGGACTGCTACCTCCAGACACCATGTCCAAAGTATGTGAAACAAAGTTTTGTCATCCTTGCCTCTAGGAAACAATCTAGTTGTTCTTCCTTCAATATAGATTTGGGTATTTTTTTGACAGTCCATGGCATATTCAATACTATTTGCCTACACAGTTCAAAGACATCAATTCCTTTTCTGTCTTTCTTATTCATTGCCTAATGCACACCCTCATACCAAGCAACTGAACATGTCATGGTTTGGGTCAAGTGCACCATAGTATGAAATTCACCAGGGAAGAGTAAGCAAAATGACCTGCAGGGGACCAAGGATGGCGTTAGAAGTCTGCCTAAACGGGGGCAAGAAAACAGCAGTGAAACCAAATTGGACGATTATAAATAGTAATGTAGACCACCAAGAGAAGAATGGAGAAATAAATTATGGTCCACCTATAAAATGGAAACTGCCTTGCAATTTTAAAATGAATGATTGCTATATACAACAATATGCATGAATTTTGCAGATATAATTTTGAGCAAATGAGACATGAAAGAATATATATGATCCCATTTATGTCAGGTTCAAGAATAGGCAATATATTGCATAGTGATAGAGATTAGAATAGTTATAACTTGGTAGGGGGCAGGTACGGATTAGGAGAGACTCTGGGAAGGATCAGTAGCAATTTTGGTGAAGTGAAGTAACTAACTAACTAACTAACTAACTTAGAAAGAGATAAAACAAGAAATAGCTTGTATAAAAAAATTATAGGAATCCATTACTTCTTCCTTTGTCAAAATGGAGCCCGAAAGTCACATTCATGGTAGGATAATTTATGAAAACACTGTTATCTCTGGGTCTTTATTTTTATTAGATGCTGTCACCTAAGCTTTATTTTCTCTCTGTTAGGAGATCTGAGACAGGACACAGCATCGAGCAGTCAGAGCTCCCAGGCTTTTCCCAGCTATGGGAAGACCTAAGTGCTCTGGAGACTTATTCCACCTTTGGGGAAGGGAGAAAAACCATGAAGGAGGCCAGAAAGCAGACTCTCGGAACCCAGAAAGGGGACCAAGTCTCATGAACTTTGGGAACCCCAGCTCTACTAGTTGGAAAGACCTCAAAGGGGAGCAAGGCAGGAAAACCACAGGTCTCGGGGTTCTCCACACTCTTCAAGATACAGGCCCTGCATACAATGCAGGAACAGGAAGTCAAAGACTGCAAGAGCCTGAGTGGATGGAGACTAGCCAGATGGACAAAGATCCCTGCGGTGGCCGAGTCTGTAGGGAATCGTGCTGCTAATGCAAAGATCATGCCTCCCTGGCAGCTCAAATCCACCAGGGTCTCTGCAGGAGAAAAATGGACAATCTCCTTCCCTGCAGTTACCAGCCTTAGAAACTCAAAGGAGAGCCAATTGTATGCCAGTTTTGATTTGAGAGCAAAGAGATGTAAAACCAGGGAGCTTTGCAGAACCAGAAGAGGTGGAGAGAGGTGGCAGCCGTAGGGGACATCTTGAGGATGATTTGGGTGGATTTTCCTGCTGATCCATAAGGAAGCAGGAAGAGGGATTTGAATCTGAAGTATACAATTCAGAAGAAGAAAAAGTTGACACTATTTTGCATACTTAAGTTTTTCTTATATTCAAACCCATGACTCCTTTTTGGCTTTGTATGAAGATTTTAATCTTCCAGTGGAGGCCTGGGATGGGGTGGTGTGTGTGAGGGTGACAAGCCTTTCCTGGTTAGCTCAAGGGGTGAGGAGAAGCTGCCGTTGGTTTTCATGGCTGTACGAGGTTGGAAGAATGTCCTTGGTTGCACTGGGAGTGAAGCACAGCTTGAGTCAGAAGGCAGCTCCCGATGTCAGGGGTGAGAAAGGTGCCCAGGCCTGGCGTGGAAGTGTCTTGCAAGATGGGGAGAAAGGCAGGAATCTGAGACAAGGTCAGGTCAGCAGCTGGGGCAACCCTCGCCGAGCGGTGTGTGAAAGGGTGTCTTAGGAACAAGCCTCTTCCCTCCCAATACCCTCTAACAGCCTCCAGACTTGCTTGCCTAAGTTCCTTCCAGAGGGCACTAGGCCCACGACGTGCATGTCTTCTGGGTGTCAGGGAGCAGGAAGAACAATACCGTTCCAACCCCCCAGTAATCCTGACCCCCACCCCCAAAACCACACAGAGGGATTTGATGCAAGTGCAGGCCATCATGCACATTTTGCAACTGATGGCATTCCCAAATGGGACAAGTCAACCTACCTCTGATAGTCGTTTTTGGAGGTACACACAACAAACCTTCCTCCTGCAAAGATGGAAGTAGCACCGGATGATTATTTTTCCCTGGCCCAACATGGCCGGCCTGATGGACCTCTAATCAGACCTTGCTGCAAAAAGACAGAATAATTCAGTGGTGCTCAAGAGCAACTCTCAGAGTTGAATCCTATAATGTCATGGCTTAGGATTCTCTCTGAGTCCAGAGATCAAGAGCACTGAGAGCTCAAGACTAGAGTGGGATCCAGGGGGCATCTGAAGGGTTGTACAAGTCCCTTTATAAGCAAAAGATGAGTGAAGAGGCTCAGAGGAAATCAGGAAGAGACATGAGACTAGACAGTTCCCCCAGTGTTGGGATAGGGCTGGCCTTTACTCACACAAGTCTTACAATGAATGGGTTCTATTGAGTCCTGCCTCACTTTTTGTGCTGCCAGAATCTTCCTGTGACGAGGAGATAGCGTTCCATCAGTTCCATACATTTTCTTGAGCCTGAATGGTGGATGTGAGTCATTCATTTCCATCATGATGAATTCCTCCTGTTTCTTTGGTCCTTTTCTAGGGAGTCTGGTGGTCAGGGTTGGGGCAGAGAATTGTCGGGATCACGTCCAAGGTCGTAAGGCATAACCAATTATAAAGGGACCATGGGAAGCCTTGACTCTGTATCATTGGTACAATAAAAACCAAGACCACACTTAAAGAGTCAAGTGTCACCTGGACCCCAGATTTAACAAAGTGAAAGGAGACTCATTAGAGGTGGGGAGGGACGAGTGTAAGGTATACTCACAGCTTGTTGTTTTTCTGTATGTTTATCAAGAGATCCATCTTCTCATCCATATCCTTCTGCATGTCCTTTAAGAGAATTCAAATCTGGGATCTTTGTTTTAAAGGGTCTGTGAAAGCTAATTCCTTGATCTCTCTCTATGCAAACTATTTTGAGATTATTCAATCAAGAATCCTCACTAGGTTTGGAGAAGGTGCTTTTGGGGGGAAGAAGGTGGTAACTTGGACTATTTTGCCCTTCCTAGTCTGTGATGAGACTGAAGCATGGGTAGAGCCTTTAGAGGACTTGGCCAGTTTCTCTCATGGAGTCACAGGTCAGGAACAATTTCATCTTACCCAATACTTTGGACAAAGCCAGTATCTGTGTTGGTTCCATCAGTTACCCCCTGACATTGAGTTAATTCCAGTTCAGGGCTGCCCTGCACTGAGTTTCTCCAGTTGCAAATGTTAACAGGAACAGACTTGCTTCCTATTTTTCTCTTGAGGAGCAGCTAGTCGATTCAAACTGAACTTTTGGTTAGCTTCCATGTAACCCACTATGCCACCAGAACTCGTTGGTCTGGACCTAATGCCTATAAGATGATGGACCCAAGAAAACAAGTGTTCTGACCTCAAAGATATTGTGAATGCAATGTTTGGCCACAGTCATACCAGACCTTGGTATTTTATCCAATTCCTGGAAGAAATGGTCAACATAAAAGAAACCTAATGGTATTGAAAGTGGCACATTCATAACTTAAGAACAGGCATAAGAATGAAATATTCCAGGCAAAGATTAGACTTACAAAATTCTACCAGGCAAAATTGGACTTGACAAAGTAGCCACAAAAAATGTTCTAATGTGGGAGAAACTCCACTTGAAAAAAATCTGTTAAGGACAAAACCAAGTTTGCTTGATAATCATCAATTGTAAAGGAAATCTCTTACTCCAGTGAAAATATCTTTCCTTTTAAGAAAAGGAAACATTTTCAAGCCATTTATGTGATATGCAATAGAAAACTGGTCAAGGAATTATTACATCTAGGTTGAGATGCTATTGTTGTTGTTACGTGCTGTCGAGTCGCTTGCAACTCTTGGCGACCCTATGTACAACAGCCCTAAACCCTGCTCTATCCTGTGCCAATCACACTATCTCCGATACACCCATCCCGATTACCCCAGTCACTGAATCAATCCACCTCATAGGGGGTCTTCCTCTCTTGTGCCGTCCCTCCACCCTACCAAGCATGATGTCCCTCTCCAAGGACTGGTCCCTCTTTACAACATGTCCAAAGTATGTCAGACAAAGCCCCAGAATCCTTGCCTCCAAGGAGAAGCCTGGTTTAACTCTCTCTATGATAGGAAATATTTTTTTCCTGAAAAACATTTTCTTATGTAAAAGTTTTAAAATATAAACCTGAAGGAAAATTTAAAAACACAGTGAAAACATCTAATGAGGACAAAATCCAGCCTAGGTCCAAAAGTTGGTGTAAAAATATCCTTTCTTCTAGTTAGATTATTTAGTATTTAGTCTTGTGATTAGTCATTGTGATGGTTATTGGATTTTTAAAATTAATTTTAATGAAAGTTTACAGACTTTAGATTTCCATTCATTCATTGCTGTACTTTTCTCCCTGCCCACCCCCCCCTGCAATTCACTCTTCTCTTTGAAAAGTAAAATAAAAATTCTTTCATTGTTATATAATCTCTCCCAAGTCCACTGCACTGTAAAGCCTTCATTCTGGATTCATGACATGACAATAATACATAATTGTATTATCCCTTTTAAACACTTCTCTCCCTCATCTGTTTCAATGCAGTATACATTATTTATTCCCTTGTTATCATTCTCCTCCAAACCTCAATGTCAGTCAGTTTTACAACAGTGGCAGTATGCAGTATTTGTCCTCTTGTGACTGAGATATTTCACTCAGCATAATGTCCTCCAGGGTCACCCATTTTGAATAATATTTCATGAGTTCCTTTTTTTTCAATGCAGCATAGTATTCCATTGTGTGAGTATACCACAGCTTCTTTATCCATTTGTTTGTTGATGAACATAGGTTTTTTCCAACTCCTTGCTATTGTGAACAAAGCTGCAATAAACATGGGTGTGCATATATCTGCTTTAGTGGTAGTTATGGTCTCTTTGGGGTATATTCCTGGTAGTGGAATTCCTGGGTCAAATGGTATTTCTATTTAAAAATATCCTTTCGTCTCACAGAGAAACAAGCCAACAAAAAGCACTGCCACTGAGCCCATTTCAACTCCTAGTGACCCTGTAGGACAGAAGAAATGTGCCTCATATAGTTGTGCAACTTTGAGTTGAAACTGACCTATACCTGTCCCTCCAGCAGGTTTTCAAAGGCAGTAAATGGCATGGGAAGAGATTGCCCATCTTTCTCTCATGGAGCAGCTGGTGGATTAGAACCCTGTGCCTTTGGTATTGCAGGAGAGATTTTTAACACTAGGACACCAGAGGGCTATACATCTTTACAGAAATAAACTGCCTCATCTTTCTTTCATGAAGTAGTGATTGGTTCAACCCTTGATCTTTCAGTTAGCAGTTGGATGCTTTAACCACTGTGTAACACCAGTACTATGGTTTCACAAGTACTTCAAACTTATCATGCCTTAAACTCACCATTTCCCTTTCTAAATTAGCTCCATTTCCCCAACTGGCCCACCACTGTCACCACTCCCTCCTAATCACCTGCGTTAAAACTGGTGCCATCATTGATGCTTACATCTTTTTCAATCTCTGTGCTGAATCTGCCACTCAGAGCTGTTATTTCTCCTTGGCTTCATCTTTTAGATTTATTTCTTCCTTTCTCTCCCAACACTTCATTCTGCTTTCATCACCTTGAGCCAGGATGCAGCCTCCTCTTGAGTTCAAGCCGCCAGACAGCCCCCACCTGTTCCCTGCACCCCCCTCTACACCCAGGCCACCTTGCAAACAGCTGCAGGCTAAGCTTTCTGAAGTGCTGTTCCTAGCATGTTCTTTGATTAAGAATCTCCGGAGGCCTCTTACTGCTTACAGCTCAAGTCCCAGCTTGTCTGCCTGCCTTTCAAAGGCCTTCATTATCCACCGCCTTTGTGCCCATTCAATTCTATTTCTCACAGTGTCCCTCTATGATCCCACATTTATGACTGATCTCCCTGCTGCCTGGGACACACATCACGTTCATTCTGCCTCCCTGCTGAGCTCAAGCAGTTTCTGTGCCAGAAATAGGTTCCCTATGTCCTCAGGCAGCCAGGTCTGCCTACTAACAAAGCCAAACCCTTATTGGGTTTTTTCTCAATGTAAAAATAGTACATGTTCATTGTAAAAAAATTAGAAGAATAGAAAAGAAAAAATCTCAGCACCTAGAAATTACCACAATTAACCATTTTGGTATATTTCTTTTCAATATTTTTTCTATATATTTGCTCATTTTCTTCACAAATTTTAAATCAACCTTCAGATTATTAATTTATGAATCTAAGCACATTATAGGAAGCTCTGGTGACTTGTTATCGTCCACCAATCCTACCGCCACGCCTCTCCTCATAGAGCTCCGCCTCTCGGATAATCTGCTCTGCATACAGGTTGAAAAGGTATGGAGACAGGACACATCCCTGACGTACACCCTTCCCAATTTTGAACCATGCAGTGTTGCCCTGCTCTGTTCTGACGACTGCCTCTTGGTCCAAGTATAGGTTTCGCATTAGCACGATTAAATGTCAGCCGATCTATCAACAACCTGTGTTATGCAGATGACACAACCTTGCTCCCTGAAACTTACTGCAGAGGGTCAAGGACTGAAACTGAGGAGGACCTCATGCACTTACTGCAGAGGGTCAAGGACTGCAGCCTCCAATATGGACTGAGGCTCAATGTTAAGAAGACAAAAATTCTGACCACTATACCAATCGGTAGCATCAGGATGGACGGCGAAGAGATTGAGATTGTTCACAGCTTCAGTTTGCTCGGCTCCACGGTCAACACTCTTGGCACCAGTAGCCAGGAAAGAAAAAAACGTATTTCGATGGGAAAGTCTGCGGTTAGGGACCTCTCCAAAATACTCAAGAGCAACAGTGTCTCTCTGGAGACTAAGGTCCGCCTGATACAGGCCATGGTTTTTGCAATCACTTGTTATGCATCAGAGAGTTGGACAATGACTAGGGAGGATAGAAGGAGAATTGACGCCTTTGAGCTGTGGTGCTGGAGAAGAGTATTGAATGTACCATGGACTGCCAAGAAAACAAACAGATTCATCGTAGAGAGGATTAAACTAGGCTGCTCCTTGGAGGCAAGGATTCTGGGACTTCGTCTGACATACTTTGGACATGTTGTAAGGAGAGACAGGTCTTTGGAGAGGGACATCATGCTGGGTAGAGTAGAGGGACAGCGCAGGAGGGGAAGACCCTGTATGAGGTGGATTGATTCAGTGACTGGGGTACTCGGGATGGGTGTGTCAGAGGCAATGAGATTGGCACAGGATAGAGCACGGTTTAGCGCTGTTGTACATAGGGTCGCTATGAGTCGCAAACGACTCGACGGCACATAACAACAACAACAACTGGTAACTTAGTGGTAAAGTGTTGCGCTGCCAACCCAAAGGGATACAGCTCGAGTCCACCATCACTCTGTGGGAGAAAATGGGTAATCTCCTCTGAAACCCCCCCGGAGTATCAGCTATGAATCAGTTCTGACTCAGTGGCACGTAACAAGAAACCACATATATCTAACTTTTCATTTTATTAGCAGCATTCTTTTTTATACTAGGTTTATTTACAAAATTCAAATATGTTGTTTTTGAGTACAGATTCTTTCAATTTCCATCACACACACCCTCACTCATCAAATTGTACAACTCCATCACTAACCCCCCACCCCCCGCACATCCTGGAAGCCTTCTTTTTAAACCCGGCTTTAGTGCTTTCATTATATGGATATGTTATTGTTGTTGTGTACCATCTAGTTGGAACCGGCCCATAGCTGACTCTCCAGTAGGTTTTCAAACGCAGTTAATCACACAGGAGGAGATTGCCCATCCTTCTCCCATGAAGCATCTGGTGAACTCGAACCACATGCCTTTGGGATTGCAGCACAG